CATAGAAAGCCTCTTGGCTTGATGTGAATGGGCTCAAGAATAGAGTTACCAAAGGCATTATCCATGAAAAGATTGAAGCCACCATTATGGACAGGATCCCCATATACACCAGAATTTGGCAACCGTGGATTTTTTATTTCTTACCACAGGGATTTGACCAAACACTGCTTAAACTGTAACCCAGCAGTGTGGGCCTACAGGCCTCCACCTTGCCACACCTAGGTGTTTGCCCTGCTTCTCTAGACCAGGATCCCGAACCCGTTTTCTATACTTCTAGTTTCTCCTTCCTCTAGTTTGTTAGATTTTTTCCATTTTAATAAGTTTTATAATAATGAATCACTGAATTGCCCCTGTAATATTCCTCCCTTGTACTATGTAACCATTGTGCATACCCTTTATGTGACATTGTCTTACCTTCAGTTGAAATCTGTATGTTACGTTAGCACTCATGTTGTGAAAAAAAAGCATATTGAACAAGCAAAGATAAAAAGGTGTAAGACTTAATTTGGGCTTTAACAATCCCATTATAATTTGCCTACTCAATGCTTTTAAATGGATATGCTATTAAAATAATGTCAGCTATGTATTTGAAATGGTAGTAATGTGGATGCAAGAACTGCATGCTACCTTAATATGGCATTAATGTATACCTTACCCTAGGGATGACAGTGTTCCATGTTTGCCAGCTCTGGCGTAGCTCCAGTGGTTGAGTTCCAGCTCCAGGCATGCACTGGAGCCTAATGAACCCCTTAATTCCAGTTCACGAAATCCTAGTTCTAGCTCCAGAGCTGCTCCAACACCCCCAGTTTGGCTTCAGAGCTGCTCCAGCTCAAAAATTAAGCATAGCACCTCTGGTCAGCTAAAACTGCCAAATAAATACAAATGAGTATGGTTCTCTTCCTTCCTGACAAATGGTCCCACTAAGCCATACCCTCGCAAACCTCATCATGTAAAATGCAGGACTAGTGTCAAGGGCCCTCCCACATTGAAAATAATGGCATACTTATCCTGGCCTTCAGAGATGACCAGGCTACTCTCACTGGTGCGTCCATCACTGCTCCTTCCGAGTCCTGCAACGTTCCTGCAAGGATAATGTTTATAGCACCCTTTCTCAAACGGAGAGCAGTGGTGAATTGATCTACCACCTACAATGGCCAGCAATACAAAGAGGAACTTTTTTGAGAATGTTCACTGTCTGCATTTCTTTTTTTCATCATATCACTATTCACTAATTTCAAGATTATTAATTAATTTGGTTGTGTACAGCTGGTGGTGTTACAAAATTATCTGCCGTGGGTGTTAAATACTCTAGAAACACCACATTCAACACTAGAACATTCTAGAACTTACTGATCACACTAATGTATAGTGAGCCGTGGATATAATCATTTTAGCAGGTGTTCCCCGTGACCTAAAAAAATATATTAAGGGTTCCCTTGTGACAAAAAGGTTGAGAAAGCCTGGCCTAAAAGAGAACTCCAGCTAAAACCTTCTATTTTGGGTAGAGTAGTGAAGGGTTTGAACCAAAGGTTCTTCTTTGATGTCTATGCTCCCAGTCATGGAGATCCTCTCTGCTTTTCTGCCATGGAGACCACTGTCACCTTTACAAAAAGTGACAAGAAATGTAAGAATTTACAGTAACGGGAAAACTCCAACAGTGGCACATGCTCCAGTAACAATTGTGAAAGGGATTTCCTCTGATTTCACCATCATATTTTTCTGTTGTGTCTATGGTAATGGGGGAAAATTTCCCAAACAAGGACAGTATTAAACACCCCACAAGGGTTCTGAAAGTTTAAAAAAGGTACACTTAAACTTTATAACTGATAAATCTTCCATATGGCATGCTTAATGCTGATGTCTGGTCCTCCTACCTACACTAAATATGTCTCTACAGCGGAATCTGTGGTTTTCTCCAAAATGTATTTTGTCAGTGGTAATACTGGACTATAGAAATGTTCTATGAAATTAGACCTGTTGCCCTTAACTAATATGTGATTTGTTTTGTTGATGGAACTAGATTTGCTGCTATGGACAAGTTTTTGCTTTAGCCATGTTTGATTTGTTCAGTTGCCCACATGCCCTCTCTCAACAGACCTGAGTACAGTATATGGAATCTTGATACGTTGGCATGGATACTAAAGAACAACTGTTCTCAATAAGTCTTCTGTGTATAAAATCCATACAGTCGTATCCCACTCTTGGCGATTCTATGAGCCAGATCGCTAGACACCATGTCTGATATGCTTGAGTGTGTATTTCCAGTTTTCTTGGTTAATTATTTATGAGCTAGGTCACCAGGTCTTTCCTCAACACCCCCATTTTCTAGCATGCAGAATGTAATAGCACATGTGCATAGCAAACCTGTACACACAATTGTACAATTTAAACGTAACCACATTAATCTGCCAGCATGTCTCTAGAATATGGGAGGAAACTGGAGTACCTACAGGAACCCACAGGGAGAATATGCAAACTCCATCCAGATAGTGTACTGGTCGAGATTCAATCCAAGAAACCCGGTGATGCAAGGCATACATGGCAGTCTATTGAGTAATCTTGTACTAGACAGGATGTTCAAGGAAGCCGAGCTTAGAGAGTTGGAGACAGCGGTTTGGACAAAAATGTAAAAAAATATTTTGTGGGACAATGAATATTTATTTGATCTAGATTTTTTCATTGGAAAAAAAATTTGAGAGTTTAATACTACTTTAAAAAAGCATGGTAACTCTAAACAGGCAGTCATTCGGGCCACTTTCCACAGAATCAATTATTTCCTGTTATACTACTATTTCAGCATTTACTAAATATTCAGTAGTCTGGGCCATTTAAAATGTACTCCTGAATAACAATAAGTATATATGTAATGAAAACAGACTGCAGCCAACCTTGTATATTCAGTACAAATGTTATTATTTTAAAGGCTGGATAGCTGGAGGTTAAGGTCTGTCATATTTTGTTCATTATGACACAGTGTTTATTGCGATGCTAGGGCTCAGCTTGTTCTGTGTCAAGGGTTGAAGACGCAGAGGGTGTACATATTCTTTCTTTCTACGTGCGTATTGTACATAATTACCTTGAAAGATTTTCTGCACAAGCTCTCCACAAAACCAAGGCTGTTGATATAGCAACAGCTGCTCATCTTGTTTTTTATTACCATGCTGATTGCATTGCCGGAGTTTAATGTACATATAAAACCTAATCAAAATCATTCAGAGCAGAAGCTTGCTGCTTCCATTACCCCTGGAGTGCTGTTAATAATGCAGTGATCCTGGTAAACAACCGCACAGAAAAGGCCTGGAACAACAAGACATACAGGTGCTGCAGATCATACTTTTTAGACAATAGCATCTGGAAATTTCTAGGTCAAGGCCTTGTTTCCATTACTATACCCTTATTTGATGCAGATGTTGCCCTTCTTCCTAACCAGTTGGTGCCCTTTTGTTTAACCTTAAACCAAGAAGTTAGGTTCAGTTTAGCACAATTAAAAAATGACACATTGCCTCCTTAATCCTGATTTAGGAATCTGATTGGTTGCTATCACCAGTTTAGATCATCATTTTACAGATACTGTGTAAAAAAAAAAAAAGAAAAAATGACCTAATGCCTAAGGCCCCTTTCAGACGGGCAGTCTGATCAGATTCGCCTGTCAGTTTTTCAGGCGGATCTGATTGGAAGCCTTATGTTAGTCTATAGGCAGCCAAATCTAAATGGACACACATCCATTTCCATCCGATTACCCCCGACTCCATCAAGGTCTGGAGAAACAAATGAAACAGAGTTCTGTTTTGCCAGACCTGATCCTGACTGATTTGGGGTAATCTGATGTAAACAGACACATGTTTGTTTACATCCGACTCCCCATAGACCTAACATAATGTTACGATGGAGGAAAAAACGGAACGTGGGGGAAAAAACTGGACAGACATGGATGTCAGTGGTGACATCCGTTCTGAGCTGCTCTGATCAGCAGGGGATTCATGCACGGATTCCCTGCTGAAGGGAACTGACAAGCACCCTTGTGAAAGGGGCCTAAGAAATTAACTGTAATAGCGTTGTCTTTAGAAAAAAAAAATCTAAAACTATCTATATACGGGCAAGCTGCCTGGAATTTCTCTATCCTGGCTGTGGGAAACTATCTTTAACTACTTGCCGTCCGCCCGTTGTAAATAAAGGGATGGACGGTAAGCTCTTTCCAAGGGGCGCATAAATATGCAGATCTTTTTCCTGCTCGCACGCCCCCTAACAGTGCCCGCGAGCGGAACACTGATCCTTGAAAAGAGCCATTATCGGCTATTACATACAAGCGCTCGGGCGGCTCTAAAGCTGTCCGATCGCTTGTACGTTGGCTAAAAGCATGCGCCCCCCTGCTCTTGCAGCCCCCCACCGCTGTCTATCCCCTCTGCGGGCCCGAGAACTGCTTGGCTGCTCTTAGCAGAAGATCAGAGGGAGATCAGCATTCTCCCACTTACTCTCTGAATGTGGAAGTGGTGTGTATTACATCACTTCCGATTCAGCTGTCATTTCTCTGGCTGCTATAGCCAAAGAAAGCTTTGAGGGCATATAGCTTAGATCTGCCACCAAAGAAATCATGCAAAAAATTCCAAAATGCATAAAATGTCTTGAATTTGTACTTGGTTCTCATTTAGTCGGAGTCATTGAACATCATGCATGGGTCAGATCATCTGAAGAAACCAAAGGCCCAATTGGTTTCGTTCCATCAACCGTACATCTTTTCAGATAGTGAGGGCAAATTCATTTCAGTTAATAGCTTCATAAACTGCATTTTTCATAAAATAATTCAGGTCTTTGTGAAGAAAACTGGCATTAGGCATTATTCCAAAAGTGCAGGAATATTCCCCTTATTGTCAATGTACAGCCTTCTGCAGCCATGTGAATGAGGCCTAAGATCAGACCAAATTAAATACACAAATATAAAAGATGAGACAATTTCATGTTTGGAGCGTTTTATTTTGAAAAATAAAATACAAAAAAAAAAAAAATCAATAAAATTGTAAATGTACATGTTTTCTCAAATCCCAAACCAACCCCAACTTCTTTGGAAGTTTACTTTAAATAATTAAAAAGAAATAGGTTTTATGTATTTCTACATAAGGGCTCTAGTGTAGCCAGGCAATTTTGGGGTTGAAAACTGCTGTAGACATCCTTTCTTAGCATGCCTTAAGTTCCTGACTTTAGGTAAAACTAGGTGACAGAGAAGAAAGAGAACTCACACTGGAGAACACTGCACAGCAGTGTCAGGATTATCTAGGATCCTCGTTTCTTTTAGAGTACTGACTGGGAAAGTATACCTACCCCCCCAAGGAAGAACCACAGTGTTTGGTTTAAAACTGAAAAGTGTAATGTAAATGATCAGCCAAAGACATGTACAGTGTGTCATGTGCAATCTGAACTACAGAATACATTGCAGGCAATGTTGAACTTTAATGTATTCAACTCAGACATGAACAAGGGTACCATTGCATTAAAATGTAATCCAAAAATATGTATTTTTTATCAATTCAGTACTGAAACTACTATATACTGCAAGTATACATTATAGTTCAAGGTTTCCAAAACTCGTACCCATGTTTTAAACTCCAATGTGTGCATGAACATATATCAAATATGTTAAGCATGAGTCTTTAAGATTGGCTTAAAATACATTTACCAATAGATCATTAATACAATGCTGGTGAAACATGTCTAAACATTAAGGTACATATATTCAATACATACTTTGTGGAATGTAATGAAGCCTATTCTCCTGAAAGAAAATAACTTTGATGTCACAGCATTGGAATGTTCAGAGGCCACATAGTGACAAAAAGAATTGGGATGCAGAATAGTTTTAACAGACACGGTTTTCTCTGGTTACTTAAAAACAATTACAGCTGGTAAATATACATTACTACACCACTGCTAGATAGTAGGTGCCTCCTGCAATGGAAAGTGCCTTTATGCCCACAAGTGAACTCATGCCCATGTTTTAAAGAGATGCCAAGCAGCACAGAGAGCCAAAAAATGCACATCATAGTCTGCTCATAGCATGAAAAGAATCATCATGGATCCACTCCACAGACAGAAAGCACGACACCTAAAGAATAAAATGACACTTGAGTAAAATAGGTGTTAGACTAGACTTTCAAGTAAATAAATACAAGGTTTACAAGGAAACAATCAAAATATTCATCAACGACACATAAATCTGTCTACACTGTGACCTATTTCTAAATTTAGAACGCAGTGGACAGAAATGTAGTGCAGTATGAATGTGAAATAAAAAGAGTATATTTTAGGAAAATGGAAAATAGAAACTAAAAACCTTTCATATTGTGAGTGATCCTAGTTCTCAGACCCCACTGCCAAATGACAGTTCCAAGTCTCCACCTAGAGATTGATCTCCTCTGCAGATTGGGAATCAATCAGTAAGGCTTGAGATCAGCTTGGCAGCTATGCAACTGTAATCACAGCCCTGCCCACTCATGCTGTCACAATGCCTTAAGAAGGGAGAGCAATACAGTGATAAAAAAATATATCTGAAAATGTTAAAAAAAAAAGGTGTGTGTGTATATGTGTTCAAGCTTTTTCTAAAAAAATCTGAGCAGGTTTTTATTAAAAAGGTACCAAATAAAAGCCATCTATCTCTTTAAACAATGTAAAATGAATTTAGGTAGGTAAATTAGTCATTAAGTTCTTGCCACATTAAGTGACATTGCTAAATTGGGCCTAAGCATCTGGCTTTCTGGTCATGACATGGTCAATCTCAGGTGGCCTTTTCTGTTTTGGGAAACTCCCTATTTAGTGATTAGATTGCCTATTGAATGAGATATGGATTTGATATATAGCTAGTAGCAAACACACTAAGACCTGTTTCATATGGCAAGGGCATAAATGACACTTTTTGCTAATGAAATTATAGTACATTATTATTGAATTACATTCTAATAATGTGGTATATATGATGTGCTGTCTGAGCACTTCTCCATGTAATGCTCCCCAGATGCACCATGTGAAAATGGCCAACACAGATTCTTTAATCTTTTACTATTCAATCATAACCCTCAGATGTTTCCATTCTGATCCATATAACAAAGCCTATGATAGACCAAATGCCTCTGTCCCTCTGTTCTCAATTGTCCCTCTTTTTGGTTTCATGTACAGATATCAATGAAAATGTTCTATTGAACTACCAAAAGTGCTATTATTCACTTAAACTTTTATCCTATCTCCTAATTATTTTGTATGCTATTTTGAAAATCCAATATAAAGAAAACTTAATGGTTACAACAACAATTCTGGATTTTACCAATATTTTTTGGCGTATAAATCCTTAATGGTCCGTATAACTGGGGGCAAGACAGGGTTATATCCATTGCCTAAATACATGTGCTAAAAGGTGTCCCTATTTGTCATCTCAGAAAGTTGGGAGATATGCTCTAGAAGTAGTTATGACCCTTTCCTTGCAGCTCTGGGTCTGGGATATTGTCAGCATGGGCTTCTTTTTGGTACTCTAGCAGCACTCCTCTGCCCCTCCCTTCAAACAAAAAAAACCCATTCTACTAAGCCGGTTGGTGTTTATTTCTCATAGACTGTGCTTATTTGCCATCACCCTCTCTGTGGACACTTTCACACTCTATGCTGGGGATCACTACACAGGCATGCTCAGATAGTCCTGCACTAAGATAACAGCAGCATCACATGTTTTGGCATACTTCCGGTATTTCCTAATTATGTGACGTGTGACAAAATGACATTTCAGTGGTGTGAACAGAATCATAACATACAAAATGATACCACATCAGGTTAATGCCCTGTCATTACATTTTGATATATCAAAGACGTGTTCCTGTGCGTATGAAGAACTCTGACCACCTCCTCTCACAACTGTAGCCATTAGTGGCCTCCTCATGCACAGGAAGGAATAGTGGAGGCAGCCCAGTTACCACTGTTGGTAAAGCCATTAAGGATGTACTGTAAAAGTATTTGGAACAGCTGAACCCTCTGCAAATGCTGTAATTCTGTCACAACTTGTGGACAAGTCTCATCTTTACAGTAAAGGAGACTGATGAGATGCAGGGTTTATTCATCTATGGTAGAGTTCAACATAGGAAATTCTTACCTCTACAGAGAAAATGGGTCTGCTATTCAACAGATTCAGTCTGTAAAGAAAAAGTATACTGTAAGTCTAATTTGATAAGAACTGAAAGCATAATAGAAAGAATGAGGCAAGATTGGCCCACAGAAGAGTTATTAGGAATACAGTAGATACAGCAACATTTCCAATTAAATGGAAAAACATTTTTATATCTAGAAATATTCAAAAACAACCATTAAAGATTTCTCCTGTATTTGCTGCTACACATTTGTTTGCACATATACACAATATATGGTACATAGACAGGGAATTTTCATTATCCTGCTCAGATTTTGAAGGCTGATAGGATATCTGTATGTTGAAAACAGATTTTGTATGTAGAGCATAACTGGAATTACTATAGGGCTGCACATCTGTATTATGTAAAAAATGCAAAACAGGGTGTAAGGGACATTTTGTCAATTATGTTTCTTTTTTCTTCAAGGCTCTGGCATTAATATATTGATCATATCTTCTGGAAGAGTACTATCCACTGCCTAGCTTGTTGGCTGTATATAAAATGCCAGATCTTTCCACTCCAGAATGTATATTAAGTAACAAGATGTCTGGCATTGATATAATGGGATGTTTGACTTACCTGTAAATTACTTTTCTTAGAGTACAAAACTGGACACAGGACTTCAATCTTAGATCATGTGACATTCAAAAGTAGTCAGCAGAGGGGTGGGCAACACAGCAAACAAATTCCAACGGGCCCTGGGAACAAGGGTCAGAGCCCTAACTCAGAGAGCAGCTTAAAGTATTTTACTGCCAAAGCTAACATTGGAGGTGCCCTGAACATTCAAGGGGTAAAACCTGAACAGAGGGCCAGGTGGTGGCCTTGCAAATCTGGGAAACAGATGTCTGATGCTGAAAAGCCCAGGAAGCAACAGATCTAGTAAAATGCACTTTAACAGGAAAGTGGGGAACCCTACCCCTGAGACTATAGGCTTGAGAAAGGAACAAGAGGCAAGGAAAACCCCTAAAGAAAAACTTTGGGAAGGACAAACAGGGAGTTCAACTGCCTAAAGGAAACTGTAGCCGAGAGGCAGACTCACTCAGCCCGAACAACATCCAAACAGTGTAGACAAATGATAGCAGATTCAGCTGGAAAAATGTTAATAGCAGAAACTATTGCCATTTTCCAGGTGAGATAAGAGGACAGTGCACCACTTAACCCCTTCATGACTGAGGCCCTTTTTTCCATTTTTGCACCCATGTTATATTCCACATTTTAGGCCTGAAAATGACGTAAAACCCCCCAACATTATGGCCCCTTCTTCGGGACGCAGAAGCGATCTGGCGACAGGTAAGTCGCCAGGATCGCTTCTGTTGTAAAGCCGACAGTCGGCTCTACAAGTTTAAACAGAGTCCCGGCGTCAAAAGTCGCCGGGAGTCTGTTTAAACAGCCCCGATGCTGGCGACGTACACTGTACGTCGTCAGTCACGAAGGGGTTAAGGACACTAGCAAAAAACTGAGAATTGCTGGGAGTGTGAGGGATGATATGGGGTTGTCTTAACAGTTTTGTTACCAGTGTCCTATCACCTGCATATAACCCATGGTGTAAGACCATGAAGTCTGTGTCCTGTACTCTAAGATTAAGAAATTCAACATTGTATTGGTTTAGCAAATCAGGTTGCTGACTTTTCACCTACTGCTGTGTATATGACTTTAGAGTCTCTTAAGAAATATATTCAAACATTAATTGCTGCCACTGGCTAACATCAGATTAAAAGACTCATGTGATATTGCTACAGCCTTGGGGAAACTGTGGCTAAATATATATACACAGCACTAGAGAACAGAAGGTAGATAGAGCATATACCGATAAAATGCTTTTAAGATAAAGGGTTGAAGTAGATAGATATTGTAACCTTTACTTAGAAACCTGATGGAAAAAGTGATGACATGCAGAGGTCCATGGCAACAAATGACAGTTTAATTGAAAGGACATCTCCCATTTAATGGGAAAGCAGAATGTTACTTTAAAATTAGGGTTTTGTTGAAATCACTAAACACAGTTAACATTTACAATTTCAGTAAGAAACCAACTAATATATAGTGTATGAAAATTGTGTCTTTGCCAACCCTATCCACAACACCATGATTTCTACGTGCACATAAAATGAAATTCTGTTTGTGATATACATTCTTGCCAGTGTAGCCAGGACTTGTTTTTTTTAGCATAGTTATATCAAATCTTCTACCCGGTCTGCCTTACGATTTTTTGGACTACCGGTACTATTACTACTCTGGAATGTTACATATTCTATTATCTAATGAGACATCCTTTCATCTATCTTATATGAAGAAAACCACAATTAATTTCTGTATTCCACATACTGCAGACTCACACAATGTTACTACTAATTAGCTGTGCAGCGGATAGAGACGCTTCACCAAAAAAATTAACATGAAAACTACATGCAGCTTTGTACTAGTGAAGGAAGCAAACAGTTGTTAATCCAATGCTATGCATTGTACAAACCTACAAGTAGAACTCCAGCCGGATTTAGATATCACGCCATATAGCCCCTGCACAGTATTCTTATAGCTGGCACCTGCAACTGTCAGAATAGCTGATTGGCTGCAGTCACAATTTGGCCAACAATTTGCAGCCCGGCTCCTTTAACAAAAGTAGACTGAAATATTGAACAGAGCGGTGCCTGCAGGACTTTGGCAAAATTCGAGCAGTGTGTGGCCAGCTTTGAGCCAAGTGTTAGAGCTTCTGCCAAGTTTTTATTGCTGCTTGTTCCCACTGAGTGATTTCCACTCATTAGTAACGTTTTGGCACAGCAAATAAGAATTATTCCAACCGGGGCACAGACAGAAATCAAAGTACTCCAAGTGTTAGTTTTGAGAATAGTAAGAACCCCTGTCAATGTTTTTTTCTGTCTGCAGCCCTCAATGGCAACATTCCCTTACTTCCTGTTCTGTCACAGGGCCAGAAAGTAGGGGAAAAGGTTTCCAGTGGGCACACAGACCACACTTAAAGCCTAAAAGAGGTTCTAATTATCCCCCTTTAACCAAAATAGAAAAACCTGACTGGAGTCCTCCTTTAATGATGAAATATAGAAGCCATTTTTCTCTAGTGATGAGTGAATCAGATATAAAAGCAGGCAAATCAAATTCTACAGCAAACATTTTTCCGCTCGGCAAAGAACCATACAATTCACAACTCACGTTTGCTTTGAATTGCTAATTGTGTGGGTCTTTGCAGATCAGACAAATTGTAATGCAAATATTGATGGCAATCAAGAAGCAACAAAACGGCAACTCTCCTGATTCGATCATCCTTAGATACCCTGTTCCTCATTAGACTAGCCTTTCTAGAGCAGAAAAAAAGGAATGCATGCACACTCAAAAGCCAGAGTAACCCTACTACCACACGTTTCCTCCACCAATAACATTTTTTGCAGCCTAAAAATGAGCTGCAACAATCCATGCGGATATATCCTTGCCTTAGGAACTTTCTCCCCGTGTCTTCTTTGGCTAGAATACAAAAACCACACGGGTTCTTAATATTGCCGTTCTACAGATTGTAAAAGTCACACATTTAACAGATAGTTTTACAGAGTCTGCTAGAGCGGTTTACAGCAATATACAGCTGACATTGATCAGGCGTACTGCACCCCAGAGTTTTCTGTCTTCTGGAATACAAGCAAAACGTCTCAACAGGATATCATCAATACAGATGATCAATTCAGATGAACTGCAAAACAGTGCCAAGCGTACACAACAAAATAACAACCATTATACTACCGATATCAAATGAATACATAGCAGTAAATGTATGGTTTAGTTACACATTCTGTCTAATGCCTGAAGTGGGGACCTTTTCCTGCAGCATTACTTTTCTGGTATCTGCTTTCTCACAGGGCAGGAAAGAAAAGGGTTCTGTAAATGTAAAAACTATAGGAAATTTTGCAAGCGTTATTATATAGCCCCTCTTGTCTGATTGGAACTTTACTGTAGAATACATGCTAACCTATAATTTTGTTTTTCACTAAGAAATTCACACACTGAGACTTTGTTCTGTTTAAAACCTGCAGCAAGTCCTGTAAGCTATCTAATGACTAAAGTGGCCTTTTTACTGGGCATGCACCCCTGAATTTGACATTCTCTTTCTTTGCACTATGTGAATATAAGCATTTTCTGTTGCCAAGGTGCCTTTAGATGACTATACACTAATAAGTGCTACTGTGAGTGATCACGTTTTGTCGAGCCAACAGGGTCACCCATTGTTAGAATTTTACCCTATTCATGGGAATCAGCCGAAATTCTAACACTGTATGGCCAGCCTTAATCTATCACTCCACTGGCATTCGTGGATGGGTCCCACTAGAGCCATGATCCTAGGGCTCCCAGTCATAATTCAGATTTAGTTACTTGGGACTGCACAGACAGTCATAGAGGAGGAAATTGAGCATAAGCTCAGGGTGAAATAGGACAATAGGACAGCAACACAACCATGTGGCACCAGCTTTTTACAGGAGGACAGGTAAGGATCATTGAGTCCCACTTTACGCTAATAACAGACAACCATGGCATTTTAAGCAAAGAAAAAAAAAAATCAAGAGAATGTTCTTATAGAGAAAGGAAACTGGAGTCATATAGGAATACTCATCGCAGAACCAATCCCCCGAAGACACAGAAGAACATTTTAAGATTAGTGCACACTACCTTTATATTCCTGACGCAAACTCATCTAATGAATCGGAAGACGATTAATCGATTATTGAAAAAGTTGACAACTTTTTCAATAATCGATTATAATCGATTATGTCGATTAGTTGTTGCAGCCCTAAATTGTATCATACAAACTCTTACATACTTCTGTCAACGCAGCTGTAATTCTATCCATTAAAGCTGATCAAATTACATTTATTCTACACAAACGCAAGCATATCAACAACTAAAGGGTTTACATAACCTTAAGGCAAGAGATACTGACAGGCTGACAGACAAGCTGCTCACTGAAATGAATGAAAGCTGCAGAGCACACGTGTTAGTATAGATCAAAGGTTTACTAAAGATCTCAGCCTGAGGCTGTGCAGTGCTGGCAAACTGTACTGCAGAGGTCCTGGGGACAAGCGATGTTGTACGTAAGTATATCCTTTGATCATAGTGCTGACAGCGGGGACAGTGATGGTGTAGGTAAGTATATGGTGTAGGTAAGTATATCCTTTGATCATAGTGCTAACAGCGGGGACAGTAATGATGTAGATAAGTATATCCTTTGATCATAATGCTGACAGTGGGGACAGTGATGCTGTAGGTAAGTATATCCTTTGATAATAATGCTGACAGTGGGGACAGTGATGCTGTAGGTAAGTATATCCTTTGATAATAATGCTGACAGCGGGGACAGTGATGATGTAGGTAAGTATATCCTTTGATCATAATGCAGGGCAGAAAAGAGGTGTGGTGGTGAGGACAGAGGAGGGGTGGAGTTTAATGCAGAGCTGTTCCATTCCTAATCTCCTCTACCAACTCACAGGGAGTCCACAGAAGATGACATTACTAAATCTGTCGGTTTTTATTTTTTAGTTGCGTTCCGTTGCGGTTTTGGTGCATTCCGTCGCGTTTTGATGCAGCTAAAATAGTGCAAGCAGTACTTTTTCTGGCTGCATCGGAACGGACTAGTCTGGTGTGAACAGAACAGAATCCCATTGGAAATCATTGTGTTGCGTTTTTGATGCAGCTCAAAAACGCAACGGACTGCATCTGCTGTGAATGGGCCCGTAGAGCAGGAGAGGAGTGTAGTTTGGTGTGCAGATGTGGAAGAATGAGAGTGGGGGAGGGGTTTAGGGTGCAGCTAATGTGTGGTTAAAGCAGGGCAGGGGTGGGGTTCAGCATGCAGACGTGGTGATGAGAATGGGGCAGGGGTGGGGTTCAGCATGCAGGTGTGGTGATGAGAATAGGTGGAGCATGCAGAGAACAGACGTGCAGGTGCAGTAGAGAGTGTAAGTGTGTGTGGGTGGGGAGGGGGGGTTACAGTGCTGGCACAGTGTTGAGAGTGAGGTGGGCATGCTTAACTGTGGCACCTTCCTGGCACAGAGAGCTTCCTGTGGCTGTAGTACCTGACCTGTCTCTCTTTGCTCAGCCCCACAACCCAATTCATTACCTATCCACTAGCTTCTGCAGTCATCGGTTCTGTAGCACAGGTCCGTGACAGATTGGGAGAGGAGGCAACCAGCAGCTACACATCACTCCAGCTACCTCTCCACCCTGTTCCTGTACTGTTGTTTGTAGTCCCCACTGCAGTTCTTTCTCCAGCACACTACTGCTGCTTACAGACAGCCTCACTAACATCTCAGCATTGCCCCAACCTTTCCTCACAGCAGCTACTAGACCAGGCAGGAGGGTAAGGTGATTGTGCCACAGCCCCGGGGTGTGTATGGGGATTCTGGGAGGGGCACTGGGAGGCCTCAGGCCTCCCTGTAGGGAACCAATATTGGTATCGCTGAGCAGGTCACAGTAGCTGTAGAAGTACATGTCAAGGTCTTATCATTGTTTTTAAAGAGTAAGAAAATGTTTAAACCGCATTTTCTACGCATTACCCCACCTCCTGTGCTGATCTAAACCACCCTACAACTTCTGCACTGGTGTTCTGTATCACTGTCTTTTCCTTCCTGATACATCTCCTGCCCCCAAGGGGTCCTACTGCTATTGCAGAGCAAGGCATTTATTGACAGTGCTGCGGATCTCCTCTAACCTACAACAATCAGCTCTAGGGACAGAAATTCTGCCATTACAAACTTATTTGCAGCTCTCATCAATAGATTGATGTTTGTGACGACAGACTTCCTGATCAGGTGGGTGATAGCTGGCATCTGTGGAGATCGCTGCTGGTTAAAGTAGTATAGAAAGTAGGGGTAGTGTCGCATTTTTAACATGGTGTCGCTACCACACATTCACCACCAGTCACTGCATTGACATTTAAATTTAAACCAGTGCCATCTACAACAACTATAACCAGCAAGAAGCACATCCTGCAGTCACTTTTCATTTATAGGCCCAGGTTACACAACCTCCTACCCCCGGGGTACTGCTGCGGCTCACAAAAACAACCTGAACTGAACTAAGCTCACACCTCAACTTCCCTGCCTGACCTCTACTGTTGCCATCATCCGGACAACTTACATCTCCTTGTAGATGCAGCACTCTCCAGCGCACCTGAAATCTTAAACCCCCACAATACCACTACCACTCCCCATCCTCACTGTGCCTGCATCTCCCTTCTCGCCACCATGTCTGAACTCCCCCACCACCAGCACCGTACCCTCAATGCCAAAACACCCCCATCCTACCCCATGCTCTCATCACTTCTCCCACATAGCCACACTTTTCTCTTTACTGCACCTATGCCCACCTGTAGTCACCACCATTGTATCAATGTGCACTTCTGTGCTTGCCACCAGTGCAATGACACACCCTTCCATATTCATTATACTGTACAATGAATGGGCACACTTTTGCTAATATACTGTAAAAGCATCAGACTACTTTTTGCCAGACTCTACAAAGTTAACCATTCCTATTCTGTATAAAACTGGATTTTGTGAGGAATATTCAATGACTATGTTTCTTGCAATACACATGACAGTTGTATGTAATGGTCTGCTCTTAATGTTATTACCGTATTTGAATTCTCTAAGCCATTATGCACCTTCTTTGTATGTCACCTACTGTACATGTAACAAAAAGCTGTGATAATATGCAGCATTTATGTATGTTCAAGTTTTAATTAATATTTTTGTAAAACAAGAAAAGAAAACAACTAAACATGATTTTGTACTCACTGTAAATTCTGTTTCTTGAAGTTCATTAAGGAACACGGGATCAGGGATAATCTGGGTTACACTGCTGCCCACAGGAGAAATTGGATACTAGCAAAAAAATAAG